GAGTAGTTGGAGCTCTGTTTGAGCTGGTACTACCACTGCATCTTTTGACAGGGTCTCATAGTTTTGGAGGCTATTTCTGCTTTCTAGCACAAGGTTTTCCAGGTTTACTGTTCCTTTTCTTGGTCCAGACCTGAAATCAACCTTTTCTCTCCTAGAAGCCCTGGTTTCATTTTATTTTTCTTTGTACAGCAAAGCAGCTGTACTTCCTCTTCATGGTAACAAATGAAAACAAAACACCTCGGTTACAAGAGTATTAAAATATAAAATAGTGATAAATCTCACCCCAGAATTTACAAGACCTGTATACAGAGAACTAGAAAACACTACAGAGAAATTACAAATTTCAAGAAACATTTTAAGGTGAAACACTTGAAGATAACAGTTTTCTATGAAAATCCAAAAGACTTTAAATCATTAAAACCATTTTGAAAAAGAAGCAAAAACTTTGGACATAATTTCCAGAATTAGTATACATTTATAATATCTTACTCTTTCACCGTCTCACACTAGGGAGACAATACGATACTTACATGTATGAGTGATTTATTTCACTTATAAGTATAGGCTCAGGTTGCATCCATTCACCTATAAAAGTCTCCAGTTTATCCTATTTTATGGATGAATAATAATCCATTGTATACAAAAACCACATCTTTTTTTATCCATTCCTTGGTTGATGGGCATTTGGGTTGTTTCCAAGATTTAGCTATTACAAATTGTGCTGCTGTACACATACATGCACATATATCATGGTAGTATAATGTTTATAATTTTTCTGGGAAATACCCAGAAGAGGAATACCTGGGTCAAATGGGACCTCTAATCCTACTTTTTTGAGGATTCTGCACACTGATTTCCACAGTGGTTGCACAAGTCTACACTCCTACCAACAGTGGAGAGGGTTCCTTTTTCCCCACAGCCCTTCCAGCATTTGTTGTTGGTTCATTTCTTTATAATAGCCATTCTTTCCAGGATGAGATAGAATCTCAGTGTTGTTTTAATTTGCATCTCTCAAATGGCCAGTGATACTGAACATTTCTTCATGTATTTGTTTGTATTTCTTCATCTGAGAAGTATGTATTCATCTCAGATGCCCATTTTTGGATTGGATCTCTTAATTTGGGAGGTGTGATTTTTTTTTTGAGTTCTTTATATGTTCTTGATAGTAAGTCATTGTCTGAGGAACAGCTGGCAAACATTTTTTCCCAGATTGTAGGTTGTCTCTTGACTCTGTTGATAGTTTTTGCTGTGTAAAACCTTTTTAATAAAATGAAACCCCAGTTGTTGATTCTGGTAGTTCCTGTGTGCTCAGGGTTTTATTCATAAAGTCTTTGCCTATACCAGTGTCTTCAAGAGTTTTACCTATTCTGTCTTTCAGTAGATTTAATGTTTCTGCTTTAATGCTTAGATATTTAAATCTGGTTCATTTTAGGAGAGCCTGTATGTGGAAACAGTTTTGTCATTGATGCATTCATTGCCAGTGAGAGGTGTCCTGCCCTCTAGTCAGAGTTCTTTAAAAGGGTTTTTGCTCGTAGAGTCTCCAGGTAGATCCAGGCAGGTAAATTCTGTTTCTTACAATTAGTGGTACAAGCTGTGTTGGCGGGGCAGGGTGATGAGCTGAGAAAGATGTGTTCCTTGTGAGTTACAGGTTTCTATCTGAGAGTGGAAGACAGACAGCTAAAACATAACTCTAGGCAAAGCAAATTGTTGTCAGTGTTACTGTAGAAGTACAGTAGGAGATTGTTCTTAATTTGGTTTAAAAAAAAATGTTTGTGGGTGTTGACAAAGGCCTGTATTTAATTCAGCTCAGTATGTCTCAGTTCCCTCATCTGAAGACTGTCAGGGCTAAATGGGATGAATGAATGTAGCACACTTAGCACAGAGCCTGCCTGGGAACTCAGAGCCTGGTATGAGTAGTCTCGCCACTGTGGACCTTAAATCCATTCCTTACTTCTTCCCAGCAGAACCTCGATCTCCTTCAGTGTATTAGCTATTACTGTTACTGTTATTTGATCTCTAAAAATTTTTGTTGCTAGAACTTAGTGGACCTGCACCCGGTGATGCAGGAGGAACTTCAGCCTCTCAATCTGTTCTGCCTCTGAAGCCAGTGGAGATAGAGATCGAAACGCCAGAACAGGTGAAAACGAGAGAAAGAAGGTAAGACCAAGTCAGGTTCCAGGTTCCTGTTCTGAGTCATGGGCCATAGGCACACTCAGTGGAAACTTGGGAGGAACATACAGAGGACACAGCTGGATACACAGTGGTCAGTCAGGAAATCCAGAGGGAGCACCTGGGCTTCACTTTAGACTCTGTCCTGGCTGGGGTGGAGGTGAGAGAGGCCTCTCCTGTGTGCCAGTGGGTCATCGGTGTCTTACCTAGTCGTCAGTGCAGCGCCAGAGATGAGGAGCCAGGGCACAGAGCTTAGGTGACACTGCAGGAGCCACCCAGCCAGTTAGTGGACTCAGCGGCATGCATGCTTTTCCCCAGCACTTTCTGCTATAGGACTCGAGACAGTGCCCACTATGGTAGGGGCCTCCGTCTGTTCCAGAATCCCCAGGACCTCTGCAGGCTCTGCGATAGCTTGTAAAATGTAGCATGAAGCCTGTTTGGTAGCCGTGAGACCACTGTAAGGCAAAGAGGGGGGAGATGTATTTAATTTAAGTGAAAACTTACACTTTTTGAGTCCCAGCAGTGGTCGTGAGACCACTGTAAGGCAGAGAGGGGGGAGATGATCCCAGTCATTCAGGAAGCATCAGGTTTCCTTGAGATGAAAGATTTTGCCCTGGAAGTATCCTCCATTAACAGGAAGGTGGTGCTTCCCAAGAAGGGAGTCGGCAGTCTGGAGGGTGGGCAGAGAAGCCTTCCTGGAGGAGGTGAGCTCCAAGGCGTGTCTGAGGTGTGGGTGGTGCGGATAGAAGCCTGAGCCTGGTGAAGTCCCAGCTCAGGTTTGCAGGTGAGAAGGATGTGCAGGTTTGCTTGGTAGCGCAGTCTGTGCAGGACAGCAGGTCTAGGCTCCATGTCACAGAAGGCATGACCAGGGACATGGGGTGGCTCACTCCCCCACTTCATTCTCAAGTTCTCACTCTGCCTTGCAGGGAGAAGATAAAAATAGAGTTTGAGACCTATCTTCGGAGGATGATGAAACGCTTTAGTAAGGAAGTCCGCGAGAACACACACAAGGTAAGGATGGGGCGGGAAAGGGATGGAAGGGCAGGATTTGTCTGCGGGGCACAGAATTGGGTGCTCAGTCAGTTGAGCCTACGCCTTACCTCTGGCTCTGCCGCCTGCAAGATAACCCTGGCAGCTGGCTTTTTTTTCCTTTTCTTGGCAGTATTAGGGAGCGAACCCAAGACTTGCACATTGTGCTGCATCCCCAGCCCTTCACTACATGTGTCTCATTCTCTCTCAGCTTTTTGCCTTAGCTGTGAAGTAGGAGCTGATAGTGCTGCCCGGTTTGGAGGGCGCTGTGAGCCTTAGGCCACGTCGTGTGTGAAGTAACTTGCGGTGCAGTGCCTGACAAGCAGCAGGGCTGAGGAGCAGGTACTCGCTTCCCATCTCCTGTTCCAGCCATTTAATAAGCTCAGTTCTGAGTGCAGTGAAAGCCTGTGCTTTTAGCTCCCGCTGGTACTGAACTTGTACACAGACCTGGTCCTCTTACGGGGAGTGAGAATTGCATAGGTTGACCATCCCCAGTCCCAAAATTTGAAATGCTGTAACACTGGAAACTTTTTTCCCTTTTTTTGAGACAAGGTCTTGCTATGTGGTTCAGGCTGGCTTTGAACTCACTATGTACCCCAGGCTGGCTTCAAACTCATGGAGATCCTCCTTCTCAGCCTCTTGGGTGCTGGTGTCTTGTGGGTATGTACCACCACACCCGACTCAAAAGAAAACGTACACTTTTTGAGTCCCAGCATTTTGGGATTTTGGAGCATTTTGATCTTTGGCTTGGGATTAGAGATGCTCATCTAGTCGGGGTCTATTGAGATATTCCAAAGTCTCAGCCCTGAAACACTTGCGGCACAGGCATGTCAGATAAGGGACACCCAGCCTGCGTGAAGCGCATTTCCTGCAGTGAGGAGCTGGGCTCACCGGAGGGGTAAGAGGGCTGCAGAACAGGAGCTGGGATGGTGCTCAGCAGTGGGAAGCTGGCGGCGGTCTCAGGTGCTGAGGAGGCTCGTGTAGGAGCGAGTGGGAGGCCAGGAAGGTGTATGGCGCAGGCGGGTGGGCACGGGTGGGAGAGATACCGAGCCTACGGCTGCCACAGGCTCGATGGAGTAGAACACCCACTCCCGGAGCCTGGGGTTAAATGCAGCGCCCCAGGCTCTGTCATCTCGTGGTGGGGCTGGAGATGAGGAAAGAAGAATCAAGATGACTGAGGTTTGAAGCTTCCCTGAGGGAAGGAGGGCAGCAGCATTAATGAAAATACTGTTACGGAGAAAGAGGACCAACTTTGACAGGAAAACGACAAGGTGTACATGGGAAGGGGCAGACCTCGGAATCATTGCAGTGGGCTGAGGCACGCTGGGGTGCTGGGGACGGAGGCGCAGGGTTGTGCAGTGGCAGAGGAGTTGGTCAGATGCACCCTGAGGTGGAGACAGTGTCATTGAGGCCCGTCCTCCCCAAATCCACTGCTCCTGTGTGTCCGGCTCTCTCCCCACACCCGTTTCCCCTGACCTTGTGGAGCGGCTCCCAACGCTGCGTGTTTCCATAGTAATCCTCAGACCTGGACAAGGCCTCCAGAGGAAGAGTATACATGTCAGGCTTGGAGATGGGATGATTTATTTGAAGGAATGAGTATGCGGAGAGGAGGGGGCAAAGATACAGTCCTGCACAATGGTTCACGCTGGTGTTTTTACCTCGTTGTGTGGCACTAAGTACTTGCTGCCTGCAAACCTCTTATATAGCCCTGCAGCCTCAGCTGGTTCCCGGCCTTCCTTCCCTTCTTTCCCTCTGCAGGTTCACCTGCTTTGCCTCCTGGCAAATGGCTTCTATCGAAACAGTGTCTGCAGGCAGCCAGACCTGCTAGCCATTGGCCTCTCCATTGTCCCAGCTCGTTTCACCAGGGTTCCTCCTCAAGACGTGGACTCGGGCTTCCTCTCCAGCCTGGTGAAGTGGTAAGGCCCGGTGTCCAGGGCAGAGATAAGAGCATTGGAGGCCTGCCTGGCAAGCGCAAGGTCGTGAGTTCGGTTCCCGGTACCGGAGAAAAACCAAAAAAACCAAAATAAATAAAGAGCGTTGGAGGAGCTTGGCCCAGGTGCTTGGGGAGTGCCTCAGGCGGGGGCACCTCTGGAAAAGAGAAGAGAGCTCAGGCAGCGGAGTACAGGGAGGGCCAGGCAGGCATGTGGAGTCGGAGCCCTGGTCTCAAGTGGGAGGCTAGGCGGCACCCCAGCAGGCAGCGTCTGGGTGGGACTTCAGTGCTGCTGCGGATTAGCCCCACAGGCTCTGAAGAGCAGAGCCAGGCAGGCCCACCCCGATACGACAACCCTCCCTTGGTTGTCTTGGCTGTGAACAAATAGAACTTGCCCTTCACTCTCACCGCTGCTCAGGGCATGCCTGGTTTCTCCCCAGGTTCATCGGAACATTTACTGTTAATGCGGACCTTTCAGTGCCTGAGCAAGCCGGCCTGCAGACCACTCTGGAAAGGAGATTCGCTATTTACTCTGCGCGGGATGAGGAAGAGTTGGTCCATGTAAGTGAGCCCTTGGGTGGTGCTATTAACTGATGGTAGTGAAAGTTGATTTTACCCCTGGAAGATCCATTTGATTTGTGTACTTACATTTGGGGCCCCAAGATTCCCCGCTTGGAGACGGAGACCAGACTTTTTACGTATGTCAGGGTCAAATGACCAGTGTCTTGGTCTTCTGACTCCGCTTTGAGGAGTCTAAGGTATCTGACTCATCAGTGCTGAGATACGACCACCCAGAGAAAAGCATTAAGATTTAAGGTTGTCCTCCCAAGTTTATTCCTATGTGTTTGTGTGTATGTTATTTGTTCTCTTTTTTTTTTTTTTTTAAACACAGAAGTGTGGGATCTTACAGGTTTTTGAAAAGAGAGCAAGTTTAGTGGCGACTTAGTATAGTCAGAATTGTGCAACCACCAACCACCTCTGTCCATTTCCAAAACGTTTGTGCCACCCCAAGGGAAACCGTACATGTACCTCTGAAACACACCTTTGTCACCATCCCTTCCTCCTGCCTGTGTGGCAAGCACCAGCCAGTCTGCTCTCTGCTCTCTGGATTCTCCTAATCTGGCTATCTTTGTAAAAGAAATCATACAACATGTGTGGCTTTCTGTCTTTCACTTTGCATAATGGTTTCGGGGTTCATCTGCAGTGTATGAGTAATTCACTCCTGTCTGTGGCTGAATAACATCTCAGTGCATGTGTGTATTACATTTTGTTTATCCATTTATGGACATCTTAGGTGGTTTCTTCCTCTTTGCTATTGTGAAGAGTGCGCATCTGTACATCATTTATTTGAGTCCCTGCTTTCAGTTCACTTGAGAATATACCTGGGAGATGCTGGGCCACGTGATACACTGTCTAACTTTCTGAGGCACCATCACACTGCTTCCTGTAACTGCTGCCCCATTTATAGCCCCACGAGCAGTGAACAAGGGTTCCCGTCCTCCAGATCCTCGCCACCCTCTTCACAGTCTGCGTTTTTGGTTCCAGCCATCCTAGTGGGTGTCGGGGCTGTCATTCTGATTCTGATCTGCATTCCCATGACTGATGAGGCTGCCTATCCTCCGTGGGCGCTCTCTCAGCTGTGTGTCTACTGTGGAGAGATTTCTCTGCAGGCCCTTGCCACTTTTAAGCTAGGTCACCAGCTTGTTGAAGAGAGAGTACGCCTTACACAGCCTTTTGCGCTGCTTTGCAGATGTCTTCTGCCATTCTGGAGGTTGTCTTTCGTGAAGCCCTTTGATACACAAGAGGTTTTTGTTTCGACAAAGTTCTGCTTACCTACTTTTATTTTGTCATTTGTGTTTTTGGTGTCATATCTAAGAATTCACTGCTAAATCCAGAGTTGTGAAGACTGGCACCTATATTTGCTTCCTAGCGATTCTTTCAAGTGGACATCCAGTTGTTCCAGCACTCTTTGTGGAAGAGACCACTGTTTTGACTATTCGTTGTATTATTTTCATGGTTGGTGTTACGGCTTGTGTCTAGATGTCCCCCCAAAGCCTCATGTGTTCATAGGTGGGGATTTTTAGAGGTGCTGGTTCTACAGTATGTAAAGCTGAGACCAAGGGTGTAGGATTACTAAATTAGTCCACTAATTGGTTTGGCATCCTTCTGGCTAGAATTAAGAGTGCCCCACCCTTAATTTGCATCCTACCTACACTAAGCAAGGGTTGTTTCTTGATTCTGCTGCTGCTGCTGTGCTACTTCATAGCTTTGCTGCCTTCTGGCCGCCATGAACTTTTTCTCTTCTGTGATGCCCCTCTGCCATGCCACCCTGCCTTGGAGCCAGCTGACTGTGAACTGAAACCTCGACAAAAATGTGAGCTACAATCAACCTTTCCTCCTTTATTTTGGGTTTGGTTCTTCATGGTCAATATTGCTTTGGCTGTGGGAGTCCTTTGGAATTGCACATGAATTTGATGGTCTGCATCTTTATTTCTGTGATAGCAGCTGATGGAGTTTCGATAGTGATTGCATTGAGTCTGTGGATTCATCTGGGCAACTTTGCTGTGTGGCTGGTACAGACAGTCATTTAATGACCAAGTGTCCTGTGGCTAGGTCATTAAATGAATTGGTCACTAAATGAGGAATTGTATATAGTATGTACATTGCAATATTCAGCACAAAGAAATGGTCAAAGGAAACCTCAACTGCTTTTATTTACATAACACTTCCATGCAGTACTGTAATATATAGCAGAACATAAACTATAGGACTGTACTGTATATTACAAACAGGAAAAATTACAGTGCTGTATCAACAAGGTATATTGTACAAAACAAGAGACATTGAGGCTTCATAAACAAAATGTACAGAACTGTACCAAAAAAAGAAAAAGACAAGTTTTAAGTCCGAGCACCAGGTCATAAGTCCACACAGCATGCTTCAGTTGTAAGTCCAGACGGATGTTAAACAGGTCATTAAATGAGGAACAGATGGGGGCTGGGGATTTAGCTCAGCAGCAAAGCGCCTGCCTGGCAAGCGCAAGGTCGTGAGTTCGGTTCCCGGTACCGGAGAAAAAAAAACAAAAAAAAAAGAGGAACAGATGTATTAATTTTTCCAGTCCATAAATATGACATCAGTCATTATATTTATGTCTTTAATTTCTTTCAGCTATGTTTTGTAGTTTTCAGTGTACCTAGCTTTCATCTCATTGGTTGTGATTTTTCCTAGGTATTTTATTCTTTTTGATGCTATTGTAAATGATACTGTTTTTTAATTTCCTTTGTAGACCACTCACTGCAGGTGTATAGAGACGAGTCTTTCCCTTTTGTTTCTTTTTTTGTTTTTGTTTTTGTTTTGTTTTGTGGTGGTAGGGATCAAACCCAGGGCCTCACATGTTAAATGTGTACTTTACCCTGAGCCACACCCCTGCTTCCTAGAAACAGCTGAATATTTTCTTGCCCTTGCACCCACAGTGTGCTGATTTGTTTCCTGGCTGTAGTAGCATCCTGCGTGTAGGATCATTTCCTCTGTGAGTAGGCATAATTTTACTACTTCTTCGCCATTTTGCGTACCTTTTGTTTCTTTTTCTTGCTTAATTGCTCGGGTTGGGACTTCACTGAATCTTTGCCTTGTTCCCAAGCTAAGATGAGGGAAATTTTCAATCTTGCACCATTGTGGTTTCATCAAAGCCTTTTACCATATTGAAAAAGTTCCCTCCCGTTCCTGGTTTCTGAATGTTTGTATTGTGAAAGCATGCTGGGTTTTGTCAAGTGCTGCTTGTGTGTTAACTGAGGTGACCTGTAATTTTTCCCCCTTTTGTTCTAGCAGGGTGGTGTATTACATTGATGAGTTTTTCTATGTTGAGCCACCTTTGCATTCCCAGAAGTCCCACTTGTTCATTCCCCTTCTAGCATGCTGTTGGATTTGGTTTGCTTGTAATTCGATGAGGATTTTTGCATCTAAATTCATAAGTTATATTGGTCTGCTGTTTTCTTACTTTGTCTTTATCTAGCTTTGGTACTAGAATAATGATGCTTTATGGAAGGAGTTAGAAAGTGTTCCCCCTTTTGTTGGGAAGACTTCATGAAAGATTGATGTTGATTCTTCAACTGTTTGTTGAACTCAGCAGTGAAGTTATGTGGTCACAGACTGCTGTGTTGGGGATTTTTTTCATTTCTGACTCAGTCTACTGTTAGAAGTCTATTCAGATTTCTCTTTCTTCTTGAGACACATTGGGAAATTGATGTGCTTCTAGGAATTTCTCTGTTGCCTCCTAGATTATCTAACTTGTTGGCGCAGGGATTGTGTGGTTTCATAACTTGATTTTTTCCCCCTCAGCAGTGCGCGCTGATAGAGTGCTTGTCAAAGGTGCTGACCGTCAGTGCTTGGGCAGCAGCAGATTGTTTTCCAGAGTGCTGTCACACCCTGCTCTTATGTCGTGCTCGTAGTCCTGGGAAGCAGACAAGGCAAGGGTAATTACAGGTGAAGTAGTCTGTCTCACTCATCTGGCGGCTGACACTCAGCTATCCAGACTCAGCCTGGGCTCCTGTGCCAAGCTGTGCTCTGAGACACGAAGACGTTACTGTGGGTGCCACAGGACCAGACTCTGGGCATCCGTTGGGCGGCTTGTGTTTCCAGTGGTGTCCCTGCTGTGTTTCAGGACATGTGTTGTATGTAGCGGCCATCTCACCTCAGTCTCCTCCAGGTTGTGATGCTTTTTTGTTCTCTCTTCACCTTTCATGACCTTCATACTTTGTAATTCCAGAAGAAACAACCCAAAATAATTATTTCTCAAATTATAATGTGGCTTCTAACTTTACTTCCTGTTTCTGAGTTTCACCTCTAACTTCCTTTCCAGGGTATCATGGTATATTAGTCAGCTTTCCCATTGCTGGAACAAAACACCTGAAACTTAGAGGAGAGGTTTGTTTGGCTCACGGTTTTAGCCTGTGGTCAGCTGGCTCCAAGGCAGGAGCAGGATGGCAGACGGGCCTGGAGGAGGAAAAGGTGTTTGACCCGTGGCAGCCAGGAAGCAGAGAGGGGAGGGAGGAGCGGGGACAAGAACACAGCCTCCCGGGTCACACCCAGTGACCAGCTCCAAGCAGGCCTCACCTCCTAACGCTGCGTTCAGCCATACCTCATCCGTGGATACACCCCTGCGATCCAGTGACCCTCCAAACACAAGGAGGCTTGGGGGAGATTTTATATCAAAACCATTGCACAGAGTAAGTGATGAGTGTGCTTGGACCTGCGTGGGGAGCTCTGCTTGAGCATGTCATCACTGTTGCTGTGTGGAGCTCCAGACCCCAAGGAGGCTGCTGTCCTTACAACTGCAGCGTCCAGGTGGGGAAAGTAGGAAGCAGAGAACATGTGTGATCTGATGATACTGACATTTCCTGCCTGTCCCTCCAAAGTGGTATTTCATTGTATTTTCTTTTAGTTATACATCAAATACAGAACAATCAAAAGATAGGTACTCAGGCAAAAAAAACCATAAACACCTATAACACAGCATGTGGATCCTTTTCCAAATATACGTATCCTTAATCATATATGATTTTTCTTATATAATTATGATCATATCCTATTATTTTAACTTTTCCTTTCCTTTAATATATGGTGAATAGGGGCTGGGGATTTAGCTCAGTGGCAAAAGCACCTGCCTGGCAAGCGCAAGGTCATGAGTTCGGTTCCTGGTACCAGAGAAAAACGAAAAAAAAAAAAAAACTTTAGTTCTATGGTGAACATTTTCCATTTTTCTATGAAGATAATCTCAGAATCAATTCTAATAGTGTCAAAGTTCCCGTGTCTGGTGGTCAAGATAGTTTGGTTGTTTTGACCTTTCCTGTTGCCCTGTTACAAACAAGTAGCCAGCGAAATTGAATTAAGTTGTTTCCTGTTTTCTCGGGACAGACGTGCCACACCTTGTCCTTACAGATGTTCCTGCTGATTCTGCGTGCCTTGCAGCTCCTGACCCGACTGGTGCTGTCTCTGCAGCCCCTTCCTCTGAAGTCCTCTTTGGCCAAGGTGAGGCTCTCAGGGCTTCCAAGAAAAAAGCCCAGTTGATCAAGAAAGAAGAAAATGGGCTTCCAAGAAAAAAGCCCAGTTGATCAAGAAAGAAGAAAATTCATCAAGCTTAAAAAGTATTTCGTTGCTGCCATATTTTTGAGGGTATTTATTCGTAAGAGCTACATTCATGGAGCCTGAGTTCTTTGCAACTGGCTTTGTTCCTACCCTGTGGTAGAGGGGTGCAGACATGAGTGGGTGTGCAGTACCCCAAGGTTGGCTGCGCACCGTACCCCCAGGAGGTCTGGCTCTGGGTGCTGTGGTTCTGTTCTGTGAGCTAGAGAAGTCACCTTGTCCTTATCAGCAGAGTGAGTGAGAGGTGGGGACTCTGGATTTCAAGGCACTCCAGGAAGGAGGCCCAGTGCTGTCTCATTCGGGTGGGCTTCATCTGAAGCTCAACAGCGCAGAGGTTGATTTTAATAATGGCTGTACTCTTACAACCACAGCTGAGGTGAGTTCCTAAGCTTTTGTTTGTATAATGCACGTGTGTAAGATGGGTGTTCTTACTGCTGGGGAAGTTGAGACTCACAAGGTAAATAGCTTGCCTAGGTCAGTAAGAAATGAGACAGAACAGGAAATCAGACCTAGATTTGTCTGTTTCTGAATCGTTTGAAAAGGAACAGTATTGTGGCCTCATCTGAGGGGTGATAGACTTTAGCTAGTGCATACCTAACCCTTTGCTACAGGGGAGCCAACAGCCTGTGTGACCTGGGGCAGCCTGGTACACTGATTCTCTACCTCATGACTTAGCCCTGTTAAATTATAAGATCTGTGATATGATTCGCAAAAAAAGGAAGAAAAAATAGTTTTGTTTTTCTGCTTAAGGTTAGAAAACTTCCTAAGGATAGAGCCACAAAGGATCCTGGAGATGCCCCAGGAACTTCCAGTGAAACTCCAGAGAGCCAGCCCGAACTGCAGACCAGTAAAGGAATCAGACAGGGAAAAGCCTTTTCCAGGGGCCCTGACAAGGCAGGCACCAAGGGGAAGAGGAGGAAGACAGCCGCAGGCAGCAGGAAGCACGGAGAGCCCTCCTCCAGTGAGGGAGAGGCAGCTGGGCCCAGTGAGCAGCAGCCCCAGCAGCCTCGGCGTGGCCGGGCCCAGCGCAGGGCCCTCAGGGTGTCTTACAAAGAGGACAGCGGGAGCAACTCCGCCGCCAGCAGCTCTGACTTTGTGCCTTCTAGCGGGGAAGCCCATCAGTCCTCTGAGGAGGGGTCTGAACCTGCCCCTCCCAGGCCGAGGAGGACCCGTGCCCCACAGTGCACGAAGGCTGGCTCCAAGAGTGACTCCAAGACCCAGCCAGGAAGCCGCCGCCAGCGCTCAGCATCTTGCAGCTCTCTGGGAAGTAAAAGAGGCAAGAAAGCATCCCAGGATGATGAAGAGGCAGGAGGGAAAGCAGCCGGTATAGACCAGTGGCTGGAAGTGTTCTGTGAGAAGGAGGCAAAGTGGATATGTGTGGACTGTGTGCACGGGGTGGTGGGCCAGCCCCGGGCCTGTTACAGATACGCCACCAAGCCCATGACCTATGTCCTGGGCATCGACAGCAATGGCTGGGTCCGAGACGTCACTCAGCGGTATGACCCAGCCTGGATGACGGCCACCCGCAAATGCCGCGTTGATGCTGAGTGGTGGGACGAGACCTTGAGACCCTACCGGAGCCCATTCGTGGAAAGGGAAAAGAAGGAAGATTTAGAGGTAAGGCCTGGGCCACAGGGGCTCCAGGATGCAGTGAGATTTTTTTCTTTCCGTTTTTGAGTACCATGTGTGCCCAGCACTGTGTTGGGTAATTTAGTGTGCTACCTCATGAAGGTATCACAGTCACAGTACATAGCTGAGTTATCATTGCTGTAATGTTCTGGTAAAATGCTGTCAGAGCTGAGCCCCAAAGTGGCCAAATATTTGAACCTAACTGTCTGTGGCTTTAAAAGCTGTGTACCTTTAGTTATTACTGAGGTATGAATTTGGGACTTTACAGTAATTCACACAAGTCAGCCAGGTGTGGTGGTCCACACATGTAATCGCAGCTATTTGGGCAGCTGAGGCAAGGAGGATTGAAAGTTTGAAGCCATGGGGTTGGGGATTTAGCTCAGCGGCAAAGCGCCTGCCTGACAAGCGCAAGGTCGTGAGTTCGGTTCCCGGTACCGGAGGAAAAAAAAAAAAAGAAAGTTTGAAGCCAGCCTTGACTACATAGCAAGACCAGTTTCAAAAGAAAAACTAACAAGGGCTGAGGATGTAGCTCAATGGTAGAGTACCCCTGGGTTTGATCACCAGTACTGAAAAAAGAACATATAGAAATCATGTAACACATAGCAAATGAAAGAAGGAGTAACTGTCACTATCTGGCTACTCCTTTGCCTTCAAGTGTGCGCAGACACATGGACAGATACTTATCTCCTGGTAAGGGGCGACCTGGAATGAGTCCCACCAGTTTGTTGCGGGGACCCAGCAAGAAGCAGCACATAAAAGCCTTGTCACTAGTCTAGAGCTGCCACCTACCCAGGCAAGGACATGAGCTGCTTGTGCAGGGCAGCTACATTTGGGTGGGGTGCACATTCATATATGGGCTCACATAGCAGTGCCCGTGGCAGTGTACTTACCCCACACGAGCCTTGCTCTGGCAGGGCCTGGTCCTCTTACTTAGTAGTGACACGTTAGACAGAAACTGTGAGCATGGTTTTCTGACCCACCTCAGGTGTCTGTTGGCAGTGGCTCACTCCAAAGGCCAGGCCTTACTCCCGTTGGGCTTTCCAGGGGAGCTTGGTGAACAGATGTGGGTCGAGGGGGTGTGGGTGCCCACTAAGATCAGAACCCTTAGGGAAGAGCTCATGGGGGTTGTCGCACACATTTCCACATCCCATGAGAGCACATGGTGGGAGCAGTAATGACACAGGCAACTTCACTGAGAAATGCCTCACCACCTCATGGCCTGCTTTCTCTGAAATCTCCACCAGAGCCCTTTTGCCAGGCTGGTTCAGGAGTCTGAGGATTGGAAATCAGTCAGATGACTTTCTTAATTCACTTAATTCTTCCTAGCTTTGGTTAATCTCAGCCACACCATGGCCAGGCTACAGTTACAGCATTAGTCAATAGTGCTTGGAAACCTTGGCCTGCCCTGTGTGGCCGGAGCAAGTTAGGTTAAGGTCATCACCTCAGAGCTCCCCACTCCTGATGGTGTGCTCAGCACTGCCTGTCCGGCCTTCTCAGTTTCAGGCAAAGCACCTAGACCAACCTCTGCCTTCTGCCATTGGCACCTATAAGAACCACCCACTGTACGCCCTGAAGAGACACCTCCTGAAGTACGAGGCCATCTACCCCGAGACGGCAGCGGTGCTGGGGTACTGCCGAGGTGAAGCTGTCTACTCCAGGTGTGTGCGGCGCACTACATGGCTTCCCAGTGGCCAGCTGGGTTTGGCATCTTCTTCCTGGGCTGGGCCAGGCCCAGGTAGGCAGGAGGTGTGGGCTCATCTCATCTCGTCATCAGCAGCACTCAGAGGGAGCTGTCATGTCGTTTTGTGTGTGTGCCGTGAAGGCAAGAGCAGAGACAGTGCGGGATGAAAGGTGAGGCAGGTGGGGCTGGTTATGTGTGAGCCTGGGCTTTATACCAGCCCTGCAGAAGACGAAGTAAGACAGGTACAATTGAAGACAACAGAAAACACACCCATCAAATGTAAGTTAACGTACCAGAAGGAAGGAGTGAAGAATTGGAGCACAAAAGTTAACCACCTACCAGCCCATTTATTTAAATACAGGATGACCAAAAATGGCTTTTTGTCTCATTAATTTTACAACAGGGAATATAAAAACAACAACTACTAGTGTATCTCATGCAGAACGGACTGGTTGAAATGACACCAGCCCAGGGAACACTTGGAGATGGTACACAAACAGACATGCCGCCTGAGTGTTGCTCGGGGTGAACTGTTCAGTGGTTAGAACAAGTGCGTGCCTTACTGGGTGCTGGGGGTAACGGAAAGCTCTGGGAACAGATGGTCTGATGGTGGTTCGGCATTGCCAGTGTACTTAATGCCCCTGAGCGGAACACTTAAAGATGGTTACTCCACAGGGAAAAGTAATCACCAGAAAAGAGGAATAAGAGAAAAAGGAGTTGGGTGTGGTGCACACCTGTAATCCCGGCACTCTGGGAGGCTGAGGTAGGATCATAAGTTTAGCCCCAGCCTGAGCAACTTAGCAGGACCCTGTCTCAACATTTAAAAAATGAAAAAAGGTCTAGGGATGTAGCTCAGTGCAAAAGCCCTGATGCAATCCCTAGGACTGGCGGTTGAGGGGGAGTAAAATACATACAAAATTAAAACTTCGGTGTTGATGTAATTTTGAGATAAGTGTACATAAAAATAGATGGAGGGATTTTGAGAAGTAGCTGGAAGAAGTTGGGAGGTACCACATGAGTGGCAGTGCATTGGGGTAGACTGCGGTTTGTTACTGTGGCAGAACACAGCGTAACGTGTAGGCTTCACCATTTTTACAGTGCATAGCTCAGTGGCACTGAGTGCATTCATGTATACAGCTGGCACTGCCATCCCAGAAGGTCTTCACCCTCCCAGACTCAACCCTGTCCAGGTCCCACCCCTTCTAGCCCCTGCTCCTGCCAGTCCACTCCTGTCCGAGTGTGGCTGCCCTGGTGACCTCCTACGTGGTATTGCGGAGCATCTGGCTGTTTGCTCCACATTCCATCTGTGCTGTAGCATATGTCAAAGTTTGCTTCCTCCCTAAGGCTGGACATAGCAGTGGAGCACACTGTTTACTCCTGGGATGACGCTGGGCTCTTTACACCTTTGGGCTGTGAATCGCGCTGCGTGAATGTTGTTGGAGTCCCTGCTTCAGTTCTTTTGGGAATATACAGTGTCCAGGGTAGATTTCGCCAGGTCAGAGGCAGTCTGGTTCATGTTTTAGGAACTGCTGTGCCACTCCCATTGCAACTGCGCTATTTATACTCCTGCAGCGGTGCACGTGGTCCTCACCCATGCTGACTCTTGCTTGTTTGTGTAGCCATTCTGCGGGTGCAGGGGCCAGATGTGGACACTGGTTCTGCGAGGACTGTGTCCAAGCCTTGTTTCCTCAGGAATATGGGGGGCACCTGTCAGACGTGCCCTGCCCTCTCCCTCCTAAGGACCACCACCATGGCTTTACTAGTTCTTTGGGATTCAGGGATGGTCAGGCTAGGGCAGCATGGGGTGGAGCCTTCATGCTCAGACACAGGGATGATGTTGATAGAGAGGCCTGATCTGCCCTTGGGCAGCCATGGTAGCCATGGAGGTAGGAAGGACAGGGCTCATTATCCCTCATTGGTCAGTGAGGATGAGGAGGCTCTAGAGGGCCACTCAGTGGGAGGCGGCACAGACTGGATTCCATGCTGCCATCATGAGGTGCTGCATTTCAGCTGGGCTGTTGTGCGCGCTTGACCCCTTGCTCGCCAAGTGCCTCCCCCAGAAGGGTGGGGTGCAGACCGAGGAAGAGTGAGCCTGGCACAGCACTGCAGAGCAGAGCCCCACTACAGCATAGACTTACAAGGCTGCAGCATGGCTCTTAGCTCAGGAGAGGGAGCCGGTGGATCTCCGCCTGTGATCACTGTGGCCACCAGTCATTTGCCTGCTCTGTATGCATGCATCTTCATCCCATGGTGCTTCGTTAGCCTGTCAGAGTGAGTGTCCATGCGTCTCTTACTCCTGCCAGCTGTCCCAGGCATGGTGGTTAGTGGATCAGAACCTCGGCAGGCACTGCTGGGAGGCATGGGTTTTCCTCACTGCCACAGGCTGTGGAGGGAGCTCTTACTGGGCGTCTCGGGTGGCACAGGACAGGGAGACCTGGAAACGGACAGGTGGTCTGAGCCTCAGAGGTGCTCTCCACAGAGTGGGCATTGTAGTGGACACAGCTCGTCTGGGTGTGTTAGAAGCAGGGCCTGTCCCGGGACCCGAGCAAGGCTGTGGGGGGCAGGGTCTTCAGGGCTGTGCTGTCCCCTCTGCCACAAGTCACAGGAGGCAGGAGGTCCTGCTTGCCCACAGGCTGGGTGAGGGCTGAGTTCGTCCTTCGTCTCCGTGTGTTGCCTCCTGCAGGGATTGTGTGCATACCCTGCACTCCAGGGACACATGGCTGAAACAGGCAAGAGTGGTGCGGCTCGGCGAGGTGCCCTACAAGGTAACGGCATTGCAGCCAGGTGGCAGAGCTGGGCAGGGAGGGTGGCAGGGGCTGTGGGCACACACCTGTGACAGGAAGCCCCGGTGCTTTGTTTTGGCTTGAGCAGGATTTGAGGAGGAGGCAAGCATTTAAATGGTATTATTAATGAGGAACTTGTAAAAAGGGACCTCCCAAAACATGCAAAAAACTGAGACCAGAGTGTAACCTTCAGCCTCTCCTGGGAGCGTAGGTGGCGCTGCAGTGCTGGTTGGCTGTGAGAGGCTCGCGTGTGCCACACAGACACTCCCCAGTCAGGTGCTCGCGTGCCCCCATGTGTGTGAGCCCTGTGGGGTCTCAGCACTGGAGGCCTGGATCACGACGCGGAGACCAGAGCTCAGGAAGGGAAGATGGTCGTCCAGGCTTCAGTGGCAGAGCCAGCAGGCATCCTCCCCCCGGGGGTGATGCAGCCTGTTAGGGCAGCGGCCCACAGACGCCTCTGCGGTGCCACAGACCTTTCTCAGGACACTGGGCTCGGTCAAGCCAACAGGGCGTGGCTGGTCCTGGAGACGTGTTCTCTCCTTTGGGGCTGTGTGACACTGGGGAGCTGAGGGGCAGAGGACCTCAGTCTTTGGGGGTCAGTGCTAAGTGTGCGGTGCTACTTGTCGCACCTGAGACCCTCACTCCACTGCCCTGGGCAGTGAGCTGCCACCGCCACCACTCAGAAGCAGGGATCTTTTCACCTCGCTAGTGAAGGTCCGCCCTGTCCACAGTGCTAGGACTCACTGTGTGGGACGTGTTGTGAGGGTGACCAAGCTATTGTAAATACAGTTGCTCGTATTATTCGTGATCCTGTCTGCATGTGGCTGTCAGTTCCTCAGTGCATGTGGTCGCACTGCCCACTAGTCGGCCCCACGAGACTGCAGCTGTCATCACAGACAGCTCTAGAATAACTCCGGGCCACTTAGATCCATCCTTTGTTGTGACTCCCCTTGCTCCGCCTCCTGCCTTGTCCTCTCTTGGCACCCTTTCCAGTGAGTCTTGGTTCTGTAGATCTGACACCACCTGCACAGCCTGCCCCGCGAGCATCCTCCACATGGGGCGCTAGTGAGGCTGGAGCGCTGGCCTTTTCCCTGTCAAGCTGTGTCCAGAGTCTCAAGGCTTGCTTCTGCCCTGTGCAATTTGTACCTCCTCTTGCCTGTCACTCATGGTTGGCATGGCAGACCACATCCTGCTGCAATGGGGCTCGGAGCTGATCTCACAGTGGGCTAATGTGAAAGGTGGTAAAGAGGCAAAGAATGCAGTGGAGAAAGCTTGCACCAGGCCTAGGCGCCAGGCTGTGGCCCATACGCTGCTAGGGAGCAAGCCGGGGTCCCAGGCGGTATGGGGTTGGTGAGAGAGACCAATTGTCCTGAAGGACAGTCGGGTGGCGCCTGGGTGTGAATCCTGGCTCTTACGGGCTGGGGATTTAGCTCAGCGGCACAGCGCCTGCCTGGCAAGCATGAGGTCATGAGTTTGATTCCCAGTACTGGAAAAAAAAAAAAAAAAATCCTGGCTCTTAGCATATGTAGATCCTGATTCCTTGAGTGGGTCACCACTGGGTCCACTTTTGTCCCTGAACAGTGAGCAAGCCTGCTTCGCTGGCTGTGCCTCCTGGGCCATCTTCATGCTGTGCAGTTGACCTGACCTGTGGGTTTGTTGAAAGCAGCGCTGTATCAGTGTCTGTTTGCCAGTGCTAGAGACGATAGTGAGGAGGTGCCACCCCGCTCATGGCCTGTCACCAGGGTTGGTGAGGTGCTCAGGCCTGGTGACATGGGCTTCAGGACCCAGGGCCTCCTGGTGAGCCATGGCTGTGTGCTTGGCCAGATGGTGAAAGGCTTCTCCAACCGCGCCCGCAAAGCCCGGCTCGCCGACCCCCAGCTGCAAGACCAGAATGACCTGGGCCTGTTCGGCCGCTGGCAGACAGAGGAGTACCAGCCCCCTCTGGCAGTGGATGGGAAGGTAGGGCTCAGTGGAGCGGTGGGGACCGGGCCCACCCTGCCCAGGTGCTCACATCCTGCTGTCCCTCCCAGGTGCCCCGGAATGAGTTTGGGAACGTGTACCTCTTCCTGCCCAGCATGATGCCCGTCGGCTGTGTGCAGCTGCACCTGCCCAATCTGCATCGCGTGGCCCGCAAGCTGAACATCGACTGTGCCCCGGCCGTCACGGGCTTTGACTTCCATGGTGGCTACTGCCATGCTGTGTGCGTGAGGCCTGGGGCCAGGGGCTCCTGCGTCGAGGCCTGACTGATCTGAAGGCAGCCCTCTAAGTAGTAAAGGCAACTATAGGCCTTGACTTACTGTGGGTCCCATTGAGTCATAGCATCAGTGAATCCAGTGCCCTAGGAACACTGGATGCCGGCTTGTCCTTGGGTGGTCACAGGTGGTGACCCTGTCCTTCCTGGTTTCTAAGTTCTGTCCTGTGGAGCAGTACTGCAGACGAGCCCTCTCTGGCTCCTAGGCAGGCTGGGGAGGAGAGGTGGCATGGACTCCCTACGCCTGCTCTTGCCAGGTTGGCTGTCCCGGTTGGCCCAGTATACCCACAAGGGCCCCAAGTGCTCAGAAGGGGCCCCTGTCTCCAAGAAGGGGAGGGTGGGACCGGCAGGCAGCAGGCTCAGGTGAAGTCATCGTGTCATGCCCCACAGAACCGACGGCTATGTTGTCTGTGAGGAGTTTAGGGATGTGCTCCTGACTGCCTGGGAGAACGAGCAGGCCCTCATTGAGAAGAAGGAGAAAGAGGTGAGCGGTGGGGAGGAGTGGGAGGATGGGGCTGGCATGTGACTGGGTGGGGGGACCTGGAGATGTACTTCCCTTTCTGGCCACTCGTAGGCCAGGGAGAGCAGGTGGCAGAGGCCATGTGCTCTGCAGTCTCCCCATCTTGGGCCCCTGCTCCAGGGACTATAGCTCCTGTCTCTTTCCTCAGCCCAAGGCCTAGGTGACTCTGCCCACTAAAAATAGAGGATTTTATATTGGTGGCTTTCAAGTGATTTTCCAGACGACAGCAGTTTTTTAAAATGCAGCTTGGTGTGACTGACACTGTGTCTTCACACCGAACCTGCGTGGCTGGCTGTAGGCATTCTCCGGCTCCGCCTTGCTGTTTCCCGACAACAGCAGTGCTTAACGCGTCCTCCTGCTTCCTTCCTACTGCAGAAACGGGAGAAGCGGGCCCTGGGGAACTGGAAGCTGCTGGCTCGGGGGCTGCTCATCAGGGAGAAGCTACAGCGGCGCTACGGGGCCCAGGTCAGTGTATGGCCTTCACAGCGGAGCAGCGGTGAGACAGTCACTGCCCAGGTCCTGCTGACAGCAAGGCGTAGACAGCTGCACTCTTAGCTGTGGGCTCCCCACGCCTGCAGCCATACTCAGCCCTGTATCCCCACTCAGGTCACCTCACAGCACCTGTGGCATGCGGCAGGCCAGGCTGCACACACAGGTATAAATGTGACAGCACTCAAGGGCTCCCTTCTGGAACAGGCAAGTCCCAAGGCGGTGATGTGAAAGCCAGCAGAAGTGCCCTGTGCTGTTCAGGCCCCACCTCAACCCACTGCTTGCCCTTAGGAGCTATTTCTGTCCTGCAAGCCCGTAGGTCTGATTTTATATCTCATAGGCGCCGGGCTGCCACATGCCATGACCTTACACAGCTGTGCCTGCCTTCAGGGGTGCCACCTCAGGTCCTTCAGCACTGTGTGTCCGGGCAGACCCCGACATAACCACTGTGTCCACACCTGAGGTCACAGTGAAGCAGCAGCTGCAGTGGCTGGGAACCTCAGAGCTCCTGGAAGGCACTTCCTAGGAGCTACCTGACTGCTTTTCTCTCCTTCCCCTCTAGAGCGATGCAGCAGCTCCACACACAGCTGGAGGAGGTGGGCTGTCCGACGATGAGGAGGGGACCAGCTCACAAGCAGAGGCAGCCAGGGTCCTAGCTGCCTCCTGGCCTCAGAACCGAGAAGCTGAGGAAGAACAGAAGCTAAAGTGCCCCAGGAAGACCAGAAGGGCAAAGAAAGAGGCTGCCGGCCACCTGTTCCCGTTCGAGAAGTTATGACCTGTGCTCCTGGTCTGGAAGGTGGATGGACTCAGGCCAAGCTGAGGTCACGCTGTAGGTGGGTCCTCCCAGGACTGTTCAACAAACCCGAGCCCAGGGAGTTGCCCTGGGACTCCTGTTCTTCCATCTTTGGAGATGGGATAAATTTGTTTTCTTTAATAGGAAGCACTGGGACATTTGCGGGTAGAGGTAACCTATCCATCTTCACCCACCAGACCCTGCACCCTGGCCCTTCTTGGGGCTTAGGATCCTTTCTCTGCAGGCCACTTAATCCCCAGGTCAGGTTCCTGCTGCTGAGCACTGCCTCTTTGTAGAAGACAGAAAGTAAGAAAGTACAGGCCCCGTCAGATCATGGTGTTGGGGGTGTTCCCTGAAGTCACAGCAGAAGACTAGGACAAAGAGCTAACATAGGCAAGAAGAACAGTAATTGAGTGCTAAAAGTATGTCAGTAAAAGTGGATCAGTGTTCAGGTAGATTTTGCTTATTATCAGATACACTGACAAAGCTCTACGTGCTCTGTGTTGAGAAGAAATAACTTTTATAACATTTTGAGAAAAAATAAAGCATTTATCTAAAGATGTGCTTCAGCATTTTTTCCGATTTTACCTCAGCCGAGAGTGCCAACAAGAGCATGATGGTAGGAAAGATGAAGCTTTGTTTTCACACAGGCGGGAACTCATTATACACCTGGAAGATTTTTTTCTTACGCAAGACGTTACTTAAGCTTTGAGAAGAGTCCTTAACTACAGTTTTGAGTCACTTTTATCCAAGGGACACAAATAAAACCCTGGGTGTGACTCAGCAGCCAGAGCACTGCTGGCTGTGTGGCGGAGAAACAAGCCGGGTTGCTATGGAAGCCACATCTCCACACTTCTGTGCCGGAGCCCACGCCTCCTAGAGGTGGGCGCTTTTGAGATGGAGCTACGCCTTGGCTGAAGAAGTAACCTGTTCAGGCAGGGTCTAGGCGGCATGTTGTGGTGAAATGAAGCAGGTCTGCCTTGAGACTTGGGAGTAGGTTTTGGACAGTTACCACCTGCTTGTAGCTAAAGCAAGTGATGTCATTGCTGGTGTCAGAGTGGACAGTTAACAGCAAAAGCAGAAGTGAAGTGCCATGCCTCAGGCATTTCATGGGCTTCACTTTCAGTCTTTATAACCTTGTGAGGTAGAAAGGCTCTGTCCTCAATTTACAGATGAGGGAACTGCGACTCAGAGCTCTGATTTGCCAGACGCCATGAGCCAGTCTGGCCAGCGTGGGACTTGTGCCAGGCAGCAGCCAGCCCCTCCGCCTCTTCGCACATTCTAAAGGTGCCTGGGACATGAGTCACACACTGTAAACAGAGGCACAACCAGCAGGCTCCCCACTGCCTGGAGCGCTCGGGTACCCTTACAAAGATTAACACACTTGTCTTAATTATGCAGAGCAACTTAGAAGTGAGTTACATGGAATGATACAAATAAAGTTGATGGTCTCACCAAAACCAGCATAAATGGTAAACTCTTACACCAAGAGATAGGGAGAAATTTATTTTGAATTTTTATAAAAATACAAAGATAATACAAATTTTGTGGTGGTTTCCCAAAGCCTTCAAAGTACTAACACTATTTTGCTGCACTTTTGAAATTGGCAGTTTAAAATCCATATAAGAAAATTTTTTTTCAGATTTGGTCATCACCTAATTGTACTGTCTCTGTTTTCCAAAAGCATCTGTTGAGAGTTCAGTGATTCACTATGCGGTCGTGGATACCATGTCAGCCCAAAGCCCAGAGAAGTCCCTTCAGGTGCTGGGTGTAACAGAATTCCTGTGCACTGCGCAGACAACCGGACAGAGGGAGAGTACTACCGGTCACCAGGCTCAGATTCTCCTCCCAGGGAAGCCACATGCAGTTGGTTGCCGAAGCAACCACTCCTGGCAAGGGCAAAACAACTTGCTAGAAGAAACCACATAAAGACTGTATAAAACATACATTAGGACATCAAGGTTACAACCTGCTTTAAGGGGTGGAAGAGGAGCTGGAAAGCTCAGGAACTGAACTGAGTATGGGTGAGTTTTATCTAGGACGAGTCAAACCATGGACACTAAGCATGCAAAAGAACCACACAAAAGCAGCCGCTCGAGGGCTAGCACTGCCAGGACAAGGCAGATTCCTGCACCAGCCCTCGTCCTCTTGCTCGCAGATGTGACTGGGTTGGCATGGAGAATACCCAGCACAGAACTCCCAGCCCCCTCCTGGGATGGCTGACTGCAAGCTCAAACCATCGTCAGGTGAGCAGAAAGCAAACCCTGTTGCTGACACTTGTTCCCAAAAGCTTCTCAAAGCTTCACACCGTGCTATCACGTCAGCTGAGTCACACCCAGTTATCACGTCAGCTGAGTCACACCCAGTTCAGCAGCTTTCTGTGCTCTGACTTAACCTCAAAGGGCAGACTCAAGGCTGTCATCTGTAATAAAGAGGTCCACTGTTCAGGAAGTTTGGTTTTTTTAGGTCTTCAGTGACAACCTGGGGTAGAAGCAAAATACCAAAGAAAAATGTATATAAAGCTTTGGAGGTCTCACAGGCCAAAAGGTCCCTGCCCAGCCGGACCGCAGGCATATGCAGCCGACAGACATGCCGGTCCGCTCGTCGTGACATCCAGAGTGACTGTTAGGTACTAGATCGCGTTCTGTCCACAGATCTGTTCTAAGTGCACCTGCCGCCCAGGCCAGTGCTTGGTATGCCTGGTGCCGACCAAGGCTGTCCTCTGGGGTCGTGGCTATGACGGGCTGAGCAGTCTTGGCACTTGAGAAGTACGCAGTGACCAGGGCGATCCCCACCTCCCCAGCAGGTCTCTGGATCGTCGCTGCTGCACCCATGCAGTCCCAGGACAAGGGGGAGGGGACCAGGAAGCTGCTGCTTATTGGGTTACCACCCTCGAGCTGCCATGCTCACCAAAGCTGCTTACAGCAAGAAAGAAGGAGGGGTAAACCTGTGAACACAAGCCTGACAGGCATGCTGCTAGGTCTGCCCCTCTGAAGAACAGTGGGTGCAGAATCCAAGAATCCAAGACTGCCCCTGAGGCTTGGGGATGGAGCTGGGCCAGGCATGGGGCGGCCTGAGTCCCGAGGCTGCCACGGGGGTCAGGTGGACACTACAGCTTCCTTCACTCCAACTTTTTGGCAGGCACCCGTGTCCGGGCAATGAGGACGGGTACCAGGGCCAGGCAGCCGATGAGGAACGCCCACCAGGGTCGGTAGAAGAGCCAGCCAGCGGCCACTGTCAGAAGGGTCAGCGAGGTGGCCATGCAGAAGGCAAAGGCTTTCAGGCCGATGTTGACCAGGTCTCGGAAGACGGGAAACCAGTCCACTGCGGGGAGAGGAGAGGATAAGGCTCCAGGCCACTATGCCTCATGCCTAGCAGATGGCTCCCACTTCGTGGCTGCCCGTTAAGGGGAGGAGAGGGGCACTGCAGTGCGACGTGAGCAGCCTTGAGCGGATTCGGGAGCCCAGAGGGAAGGAGGGGTCCGTCCTGGCCCTGCGTGGTGTAGCTGAGTGCCCTAAGCTGACTGCTCTGCCCACCCTGGGGGACCTGAACACCCTCTCGGGCCTGTGTGCAGCAGCAGGGCTTATCGGGCCTGCCGGGGCCGGTCCTGAGCTAGACAGGGCCTCATCTGTCCTGCTTACTGCTTGGCGCCAGCTGCAGCAGTGTGTGGCGCTCAAGGATGGAACAGGGTGCGTGCACCTCCTGCTGCAGCTCCCTCCGGCCCACAGGCCAGGCCCACACCGGGGAGAACAAGGGGACAGATGGCCAGGTCTGGGGTGGGCGTGTGACACCCACTAGGACTGAGACCGCAGAGGAACCGGCCTGTCTCCCTGCAGTCTGGACATCGTACAGCCATGTAGCGGAAGCTTGGAGCTGCAGGGAGGCTGAAGCCTGAGGAGCACCTGCTGCGAGCACCCACAGCCCGACAGGTCAGACCTCCCACCAAGTCCAGCTCACCCCACAGGCTGCAGCCTCTTCCCCTCGGCTGCTCAACTGCAGAGGAAGGAGGGAGCAAGCAGACAGATGGTCGGAGAAGCCTCTCCGCCACGATGGCCTCCCCTACTCATCACAGAAGGGCCAGACACCCAGTCTCTGCACCAGGGAGTGGCTCTCACACCAGAACAGCTCACAGGAGAGGTGGCAGCACCAGGAACAGCATGAGGGGCTCCCGGAAGCCCCATCTCCGCACTTACCCAGGGTGTAGAGGATCCGAGTCATGAGGTTGAGGCCCATGAACATGGCCATCCAGCCAGCCGCCCGCAGGCCCCAGGTCTTCATGGAGTTGCTCCGGTGTTCTCTGCGAAACACCTCCTGCAGGGTGTGGAGACGAGATCAGGTGCCTGGGTTCCCCGCCCCCCCAGGCACCTGATCTCGTGCAACCCACCTGGTGTCCTGCATGTCCAGCTCATAGTAGAGCTCTGCCTTCCCTGCTTCTCTGTCTTTCCCAGCAAACATGTCCGGTACCCAATCACACTGCAGCAGGGGCTGCAGGGGCTGTGCCCACTCAGGCCACAGCCACTTCTGGACAGGCCAGAGAAGGGCAACCTCCCGCCTGTCCAGGTCCCACCATTTGCCAGCTGCTGCACAGTGTAGCATGGGCGCTCCCTGGAGAAGGTGCCAGCCTCAGCACAGCCGGGGCTCACACCAGCGGGAGGAGCCCCCCTCACCAGCACCGCGCCCTCTCGGTGCACACAGCGGGGTGTATGCAGGTCGGTGCCGACTCCTCCCGCTGCCTGGCCGTTCCTTCATTTCCACTGCTGTCCCGCACTCTCCTGGCCTCTCAGTGCTCAAGTGCTGTGGCTGCTCCTGTCCACACCCCACACACCCACCACCTGCTCCCCAGCTCCTCCACTGCCTCCTAGACAACCCACCTGGTGTCCTGCATGTCCAGCTCATAGTAGAGCTCTGCCTTCCCTGCTTCTCTGTCTTTCCCAGCTCAGCAAACATGTCCGGTACCCAATCACACAGCTGGGAACCCGGGTCACATGCACAGGTTCCTGGCCCCCTACCACCACCATCACCCAGTCTTATCACCCACCAGGGCCACCAAAGCACCCACATTCTCCCAGCCCATCACACGGTCCCTCAGGGACAGCCCATGCCACCTGAAACCTGCCATTGCTGTCCCTCAGGGACCACAGTGTGGGCTTCCAGCTGGTCACACCACACCCTTTCTGCCCTGCCGCTGGCCCCTGGCCCCGAGGGCTGCACCCTGAGAAGGCCAAGGCTGCAGCCACTGCTGGACCTCTGCACCTGTGCACGACCCTGCCAGCTGTGCCTCACTCCTTCATCTCAGCTGGAACACTGCTGCCTCAGAGCTTCCCTGACACTCTAGGCCAGTGCTGGCGAGCCCCTTAGAACGTTCAATGATACGAACAGCTCGCTGGGGCACGTGTGCATAGGTTTGCCACCCTAGTACCAGTGCCCCCTCCTGACAAGATCTACACCCGCTACAATAAAAATGCACAGTATTCATTGCTTGATAGCTACCTTTCACTGCCGTATGGGTTTTACTTGCCCTTTAAACACTTAGCCCTCAGAGTAACTCAGTGGGGTGGGAGCGCATTCCCATTTGGGCAGGAGGCAACCAAGGTTCTGAGAGAACAAGGAACATGCGCAGTCTCACCCACAGTGAGCACGGCTCCTCCTGCCCTGTCCTGCGCTGGAGTCAGGGTATCCAGTGTGTGGGGATGAGGTGGCCAGCGAGTGTGGGGGTTGCCACTGCCAGGCAGCCCAAGGCTCAGTAGGTGGGGACACATATGTGTCCCACAGCTGCCATCTTCCCTCAGCCATAGGCCTCTCTCCCTTCTTGGGACCTGGTGAGACCTGGGGCTCCACCCAGGAGGCAGGAGAGAAACCAGGCCTGACCAAGCCTCCTTCCATTCAGGAAGTCCCTGAGCGGCTGAGCCTGGTGACTGGCCACGTACAAGGAGCAGCACTGCTGAAGGCTGGGAGGCCAATAGGGATGACAACAGGTGGCAGTCACAGTGGGCCTCCGTGCCATTGCCTGACCCCTGCCACCTTCTGGATGGGAACCTGCAGTGCTATGAAGGTCTGCATTGATACTACGTCCACCAACAACAAGCACAGAGCGTGACATCCTGCCTAGCATGACGTTGCCCTCCTTAGTGCTGGGTGCATGTGGCAGGGAAGGGACTCGGGGTGGCTTGGGGACCTGCCCTGCATGTTCCAGCACAAGCCCCTCTACTGCCCTCCAGATGCCTTGGGGGAGGACAAACTCCCTGTGCACTCATGATGCCCACCAAGGTGAGCCCCGACTCCTCCAGAGTGGGCACTGCTCTGCACATGGGTCCCTCACTGGAGAGGCCCCAGAACCCTCAGCCTGACCCAGGGAAGCCCACGGTATCAGTGGCTCTGGCCTTGTGACCTCCACAGCACTGCCCACTGTGTTCTCCCCCAGTGACTGCACACCTTGCACGGGGGAGCTCTCCATGTGCTGTCCTGTGCACTCCACAGGCTGGCCCTCTCCCTCCCCTTCCTCTTCCCACTCGCGGTCACCTCTGCTGGTCGGGGCTCAGGAGGAGGGCAGGCAGCATGACTCACCTCTGCAGAGAAGTCCCCATGGTGCAGGAGCAGCAAGGTCTCCCCTGACTGGGTGGAGTATGGGACAAGCTGATCATCCCGCTGCCGGGCAATCACTGTGACCTGGCCAGGGAAGGCACGTCAGAGCGAAGGGGCATTCAGGGGGTGACACCTCTCCCCATGATCCATGCCACCCAGGGAATTAGTAAGGAGCCCCCAGACTCATCTCCTTCCCAGGGCTCCCCAGCCCTGGAGCACCCACAGCTCCAGGATTCAGGGCAGGAGTGGGCCAGGACAGGACTGCATGTGGCCTGGATGGAGAAGCTAACTGCGGGCAGCGCTTGTGGGCACTATACACCCCACCTGTGTGACACAACGAATGGCGTGGCCAGGCCCTGGGCCGCCCTCCTGCCTCCTGGGCAGGGTAGGAACGCAGGCCAAGTGCTCACAGCCTGGAAACCAGAGCTGGGAAGGGAGTGTGTGTCATAGGGAGGACTCATCAGGAGGACCCTCAAGAACTGCGCTGAGCCTGGGGTCTGTGGCTGGCTGCGGGGCTTGGGGGTTGCAGGGCAACTGCATGTGGAGGCTGCACCTCCACAGGGAGCCTGCAGTGGTCAGCCCTCTCCCAGTCTGAGCCCACGACACCAGGAGTCCTGGCTGACTTAGTGCCGCCCAGGGAAGCAAGGTTACCACGTGGGCCGGGCCCAGGTCGGGATCATCGCTGCTCAGTCCTGCATAGGAAAAATAGACGCGCAGGTCTCCCACCTGGGTGCAGAGGGACGGCAGGGTGAGGTGGATGCACTGGCCTGGCCCACCCCACATTCACTTTCCCCCCCGCTTCCACCTCGCCTGCTGCCACCCAGGAGGCCTCTGTCCCCAGTCATCCGGCTGCATGCAACGCAGGTATGGCTGGCATGGCGCCCCCTCCCATACCTCCGGGAACTTGGGGTTTTCGCTGTGGTAGAAAAAGTCCCCTCGGCGGATGATGTCCACCTGAGGGTCCTCCAGTTTGGACAGGCTGAGTGGCTTGAAGTTGTCGATTTTGTCTATGAGGCCTGAGGGAGGCAGAGTGCTCAACCACTGTGCACCGCACAATCCCCCAGTCTGCCGCCATGCAGCCGCACACCTTCCCACCTGTCCGAGGGGCTCGGCCGTGGGAATCTCCCACCAGGTGTCCCCCTTTCCAGGGCGTCCCTGTTCCCCATGCCCACGCACCTGGGCGTGACCTTGGCCCCCTGCCCTTCCCTCAGATCACAGCCATCACTACCCTCCTGAACTGGGGCCTCCCGGTAGGCAGGACGTGGTGGCGAGCAGCAGAGGCCATGGGGTGGCCAGGCCAGCCCAGCACCGCCTCCTCCCTCCGCTCAGCCACCTGGGGTCCCGGGCTCACTGTGGCTGAGAGAGCTGCCCTGCCCCTGGGGGCAGGTATGGGTGGGCTCCCAGGGGAGCTCCGGGATGAATTCTGGGTCACACACCACCCCCAGGGCCAAGTACCAGGCCAGCTTACCTGCCGAGAGGAAAAACCTGCCGATCTGGACAAAGGGGGCAGTGGCCGTGAAGGACTCCACTGCCATGGCACTGTGGGAGGGAAGGGGTGCCATCAGGGTCCCCGGCCCGGGGCTGCTGTCTGCCTTCCCTGGCCGAGCAACTCACTTTATCCCTGTTCCCCAGTGCTTCAGATCTTCCTGCGTACACCCGACATCCTGTCCTGCACCACCAGCCCCCAGGTGAATCTCTCCTGGACTTGATGCCCCACAGCCCACTGGCCCTGGGTACAGCTGACTCTGACCACCCTGCCAGCACAGCCCTGACCACTGCTCATCACCACACATGGGCAGGCTGCACTGGTCCTCTGCCAACATCCTGAGAAGGCCCAGGCCAGTTGTCTCTTGCCTCCAGGAAGCTCTCCTTGGTCATCCTCCCGCCAGGCTAACCAACAGTGAAATGCTTCCCCGGCATAGTACATGCGAAGCCCCCGGGGCCTCTGTCCATGCCCTGAGTTGGAGGCTTCGTTGAGGGGACCTTGTCTGGGGTTGGCAAGGGCCAGATCATGCTCTCTGTTCCCAGGGCCCGGCACAGGGGTTGGTCTCAAAGCTATGCCTTATGTCATCCCCCGGGGACAGAGCTAAATCAGTCCCATACACTCAGACGTGGACATGGGGGCTAGGGGCTGGCCAGCAGCAGGCTGGCCCACACACACCTGGGGTTTTTGTGGCCAATCTCTCGGTCAAAGTTCCGACTGTTGACGATGTCTGACCGCCACTCGGTATCTGTGAGGAGAGCACAGCTCAGGGTTGGGCACATGTGGCTGGGTGGGCAGCAGGGAGGGCGGGGCAGCACCCAGGGAATCCCACCCGGGCACCACTCCACCCCACAGCCTCCCACGTGGGGCAGGTGCCCACAGGCCGCACTCACTGTAGGAGTACCGTGTCTCCTTCTTCACCTGCCCGTCCTCAGTGTACTCCCTGCAGTGGGGTACAGGCAGCTGCTGTGCTGGCTTGGCCTGCAGGGGCAGCTCCAGACAGAAGCCACCTCAAGGCAGAGGAGCCCATATCCCCACACAACACAGCAGCCGGAGCTAGATGCTCCCTCCCCGGCAGAGCCGCTCTGCCGTTTCTCAACCCAAGGTGACATGCATGCAGTCCCGGCCTCTGGGCTTGGGTCACCCTGTACCCTCTGTCCCAGGAAGACCCTGGGGAGCCCAGCCTGTTCCTGGCTTCCTGCCACACCCATCCAGTCCCACACTGCAAGTGACCTGCCCAGGGACCAGGAAGAGGACGTATGGAAGCTACCCTGCCTGCTCCGGGAGCAAAGGCAGCAGAGGACACACCGGGCTGGGTGAGGCTGTCTGAGTCTGGACCCAGCCATGCCTCAAGCTGGAGCAGCTCTAACGGAGGGAACAGACCAATCCCCCTTTCTCTGAGCAACCCTGCTACTCTGCCTTGGACTTTGCCACCTCCCAATGAAAGGTCACTGGCTGTGAACTCTGGAAGAAGTGGGCATCTTCTGATAGGAAGACTCTGCGCTCTGAATTCCAGAGTGACAAGATGACTCCAGTACTGCTCTTCCTTCCCCATGCTGACTTCCGCTTCCGGCATCCGCCTCACCTGGACTCCTCGGTCTCCACCCACTGGTACATCTCAACATGCCTCCGCAGCTTCACAGCCGGAAGATGCACCCCATAGTTCGGGTCAGACAAGAGCTTCAAAAAGAACCCAACAGAACACAAAAGTTAGGACAAGGCTGTCATGGGCCCAGCACCCCTGGCTCAGGAAAGCCAGACTGGACCAGATATAAAGAGAAGGGGACCAGAATGGACAGCCTTAAAGCTACTTCCAGCAAGAGGGCCAAGCGAGGCTGTCCACCCTGCAGTCCCAACCCCTCACATGGTGACCGCAGACAAGGACCAGGCTGCAGGGCCCAGGAGCAGGCCCACAGCCGCGTGATGGTGGTCCAAGTACTCCCAGGCCCGCCCCGCTGCTCCTGGTGACAAGAGCACCTATGGGGGAGAAGGGCTCAGCATACACCAGGTGCCATGCATGAGTGGCCTGCAAGTGTCACCCATGTCATCCCCAGCTTCCCGACACAGAGGTGAGCAGTGAAAAGGCAATGTAATTGGGCATGGTGGCTCAGGCCTATTATCCCAGCATTCAGGAGGCTGAGGCAGGAGGATTGCTATTAATTCGAGGCCAGCCTTGGCTACAAAGTGAGTTGAAGGCCAGCCTGAAGTGCATAGTGAAATCCTATCTCAAAAAAAAAAAAAAAGGCCATGTAGCTGCCCAATCTGAGCCCCAGCGGCGGCCAGCACTGCCGTGCCTACCTTGGACGTCCGAAGAGCCCCGATGATGTGCACCAGCCTGCCCTCGTTCTCAGGGGCCACACTGTGGATGCTGTCCGGGGTCACCACCAGCGACAGCCCCTCCTTTAGTGAGGTTGCAGTCTTCAGCGCTCGGCCCTGCTCGGGGGTAGGTTCGCAACTCAGGCCTTGGGGAGCACTGAGAGCTGTCACCCCACTTTACTACTAGGAACCTTTGGTCCAGCAAGTACAGACTCAGGACTGAAACCCAGGATTCCTGATTCCCTAGTCCCACCAGCCTCGGCACTGCCCCCTGCTGGACCCAGCTGGGGCTGAAGCCCACCTTGAGCCTTCCCTCCCTTGGGCTACTCTCCTATCCCCACCGCAGGCCTTGCCAACCAGACACATGTCCCCCAATCACTGAGTTGGCTCAGGGGACTGAGACTCAAACTAGTACACTGGAGCTCTCTGCAGCTCTTTAGAAAGATTCTCCTCTTTCTCTAGGATCTCTACGTTACCCAGACATGAGCCCAGATCCAACCATGCCTGAAGCAGGCTTTTCAGGTGTGCACACTAACCCATTCCTGCTGGCTGTTACATCAGTCATGAGGTGGATCACAACGTTACAAAATTCTGATTAAGTTCAGTGTTCTTTCCCTTGTGTAAAATCTAGGCCGTTTACTAGCAAATCCAGACTGGATTCATGACTTCTTGATGCCATGGGGACCTTCACTCTGTACAGGAGGGCCCAAGGTCTTACCTCATTGGTGAAAATCAAGTAGAAAGAGAGCAGGAAGGTCATGAGCCCCACAAACATTCCCCCCGACGTCTCGCTCAACCGCTCCAAGAAGCCTGGCTGAGCGTCCAACGTAACTTTTACATGTTCTCTCCTGGTACCTGTGGTGGAATACTGAGAGAAAAATATTTTAAAATAGAATAGAAATTAGCTTTTAAAAATAGGCTGAAGCCAAGTGTGGTGGCACATGCCTGTAATCCCAGCACTCGGGAGGCTGAGATAGGAGGACTACTTTTGAGTTCGAGGCTAGGCTACACTACATAGTGAGTTCAAGCCAGCCTGGACTGCATAGTGAGACCCTGTCTCAAAAAATCAATCAATCAATCAATAAAAGGAGGCTGAGTTTTGCTGTTTTATTTATGCTATCTTAGTTGTTTTAACATGTACAGTGAAAATGCGTGGATATGAAGTGTACAGTCTGATGGGTTTTGACGATCATCTGAGTGTCCCGGGGTGCCTGGAACACAAGCCTCACACACACTGAGGGACAACTATGCCTAGAAGTGGAACTGCTGGGTTGCTGTGAAATACATGCTCACCTTTTTCAGAAGCTGCCAAACTACAGTACAGAAAGGTAACAGCCACAGATGATACCAGGGGTCAGGCTGGGTGTCCACTGCGGGGTGGGCCCAGACCAGGGCCCCTTCAGCGGGGGTCTCAGGCAGGCTCACTGGGGGAGGGTGGGGTGGGATTCAGATCCCCAGGAGGCCCAGTGGGGAGCAGGGAGTGGTCTCTGGGAGCCTGGGCCAGGGAGATGGGGGCACAGACTAGACCTGAGGACGGCCTCAGCCGCAGCTCAGGGGAACAGCTGTGTGTCCAATCAGCAACATCACTACTGATGGAAAGCCGGCACCAAGGCAGGCTCTGCCACAGAGCAGCCACAGCCTGGGCATGAGCCCTGCACCTGCTGTGCCCTCTGCATCCTCACAGCCCAACCCGGTAGCACGGGGGCCAATCTCAGGCAACTGAGCGAGGGGCACTGTGGGCACCGTGGGGGTCTGCCAGGCTGTGAGTCTCAGGGATGCAAAGTGGACCCAGAAGGTATGGGGCAGCCAGGCCCTTCCTGGCACTGATGGGAGCGGCGGCAGCAGAGAAGAGGCTCCACTCGGTCTCTGGGCAAAGCAGCGGCCACATCTTTCTAACTGTTGCTGAACCCCACCACCCTGGGCCCGAGAGGAGCAGGTGTGCCCTGCACACGGCAATGGACTGACTTTCCACACCAACTGGGATCTCTACGGCGCATCCAACCATCCTAACGACAATGGCGAACACGCCCGGACATGTCACGGGGAAGCCCAGGTCACAGATGGCACATCAGGAGCACAGCCTCCGGGCAGAGCTGAGGCTCCGGTCCCAGCAGAGCAAGGCCACCTGTCCATCCTCTGTTCCACACCATCCTCATCTCCTGAGCCGTGAGCAGCTGCAGGCAGTGACAGAGACAAGAGACTCGCCCTCCTCCTGTCCCCTCAGCCAACACTCAGGACAAGGGCTCACACACCTGGGAGGATGCCCCAGAGACAGGGACCAAATCCGCAGTAAACCGGAGGGTCCTGAGGAATTGTGGAGAATGAATACTCGTAATGCACATCCGTCTCTCAGGAACACGCACCCTCGCACACCCAGCACTGGGAGCCCACAAGGAATAACAATGAAGAGTGGGGAGAGAGAGCCACACTGTCCATTCCTGGGAATGGACAGACCTGGCCAGAAAGCTAGCTGTGCCAGTCACTTGCTGTGTGTGCCTGGGTAAGTCACTCTACCCCGCTGGTCCTGTGAGTAGTAACACCTTCACCAGCGGACAGGCGGTGTTATACTGAGATCTGCTGTCTCCCTGCCCTACCCCACTATCTCCGGGTCTTTCTTCCTCACTCAGCCTGGTGGCTCCATAGACATGTACCCAGCTACACAGCCAGTAAGCAAAGGCCTGGCAGTGTTACAGGCAGCGGAGTTAGACAGAAATATTATTATAGGCAGTCAGACAGGGTCAGGCCTTTAAAGGAGCCAACATGAAAGACAAGATAAGATACCTTATGAGGGCCAGACCTCAAGACAAAGGACTAAACAAATGTACCACATACCTCCCTAGGTGTGAACACCAGGGATTGATATTCTAAATAGGTAAGAACCACCTTCAAAAAGCCAGAAAGAGTCACTAGCCCAACCCCCTACGGGAAAAGCCCCTGTTCTGTATTCATGCCCGCTTGTTAAGTAACTCACTTCCCCATTGGATCCCAGTTTACTCAATTTTACCTGAACAGTTATACTTGTAATCTTATTGGCTGACCATACTTTTGTCCCACCTCATGCCCACCTTGTAATTCCCATTTTCCCCCTATCTTGGACCCGACCAACCTCACCCGGGAGTATTGCCCCATAAAGTCCCTGGGAAGGGCAAGGTCCTTGGCAACCCACTCAGGCCCGCTTCTGTCCCTCTCTTGGACAGAAGCTTCCTTTTCCTCAGTAAATATATTCTGCTCTTAACCTCTGTTGTTCCTAAAATTCATTCTTCGATTTTAGAGAACACGAACTCATCCTAGATATCGTTCAGGTTGGGAGTTTTTCTTTTCCTGTATCAGTAGCAGAGGATAGATACCCGGGCTGTGCTCCTCCGAGGGCTCAGATCCCAGCACACCCAAGGACCACGGGTGCTGGACCACGAAGATCCCTCTCTGACACCATTCAGTAAGTACCTGCCTCTCACCAAAGCCTGCCCTCGCTGGCGCCTCCGCACCATGCCGAGCTGGCCGGGGGCCCTGTGGACTACGCAAGGTGAGGGTGCAGACACAGGGCCATCTCCAAGGCCTTCCAGGTGCAGCGTTCAAGGGCAGCGCTGGGTGGGGTGGTGGGTGACACAGACCCTGGCTCTCAAGAGGTGTGGACGTGGAGGAGGGGAGGGGACACAGGGGACTGGAAAGTAGGTGTAGGTGTCAGGGGAGGGCAGCTAGGCACTGCACCAAGCAAGAGGGCGTGGTTGGGACTGGCGGCTCCCAAACTGGCTCCAGTAGCACTTTCAGGGGTAGGAGGTGAGTCACCAGCTTCTCCCACACCCAGGGCCCTGCGAGGAGGTGGCTGCTGGTTTTGTTCATGAATATGGGACTTTAATAGAAAGTTTCTTTTTGTTTCTTTTCTTTTTTTTTTTTTTGGGGTCGGTCTTGCTCTGTAGCCCAGACTGGGCG